AATCAGTTAGGCTGGGCCAAGCTGATTGGGCCGTTGACTGACCTTGACATGGCTTTGAGGATGTTGATTTTTGACTTTAGCATGTTTGGAGAGTTGAACCTTTGCCTTGGGCTTTTAATTGGATCATTCAGTGACCAGGCCCAATTGGACTAAATTGGACCCAAACAGTTTGTATGGGGTGATTTAAAAGTCTAATATTTTATGCCTTTACAAGACTATAATATTATTATTTGATATGTTCATACATTCCTTTAGCTACTTACACTCTGTCACATATATTTCGTTAAAATTAATTCATGAAGTTCATGTGCCTATTCTATGTTTACTTGTAGGTGGAAATTAGATTGTTGTGGAAACTTATTATTTTCCAAACCTTGCTATCACATGAACGTCAGGCAGCTCACAAGGCCCAAGTGCAACACTTCAGCTAGAATACAAAGACCCACTAACTTCTAATTAAACAAGGCAAAAGAAGTAATAGTGGGTTGAAAATCCCAATAACTCAAAACCCAATAAGTCTTAGCTACATTTTGGTGCACCACTGTCTATAAAATGAATATGTAGTAAGAAGATATGAACACGTAAAAATCGATGAACATTCCGTAATAAAAAATAAACATATAAAAAAAATGAACATTTAGTACTTAAAAAGTGAAAATGTTAAAAGGTTGTTAAATACCGCCCTCGAATTTCCAACTAACGTCCGCAAATAAAATATATTTTCCAAATTTACCCTTACATAAAACAAAATAATTTACCCTCCCCCAAACACAATTTACCTCCCAAAACCCTCACTCCCTCTTCTCTCTCTTAAAACCAATTCTCTCTCTACACCAATACCACCTCCACGTCCTTTTTACACCACCACTACCACCACCTCCTCTTTTAACAACACACCACCACCTCCTTTTACCTCAGGTTACTCAATCTACATAGTAAGCCGCGAAAATGACGAGGAAGGATAAGGGGAAGGTCGTTGTCGCCGGAGACAAGGTCGTCGTCGTCCTTTTTACACCACCACTACCACCACCTCCTCTTTTTTTTCTGAAAATGGAGGAAACGCCTAATTTTTTCGCTAGATCTGGGCTGAAACGCCTAGAAATTTCGATCACCTATACGGTTTTTCGAAAAATCTAGGCGTTTTAGCCCAAATCTGACGAAAAAATTAGGCGTTTCTGCCCTTTTTTTAAAATAAATTTTTTTTTGTATGAAGTCCATCTTATCCTACGGTTATTTGATTTCATCTTGGCTGATTTGTTTTTTCCCTTTCAATTTCATCTAGTTGAAGGAAGAACAGCTAGCCGATTTTTTTTATTTTTTTTATTTGAGGTTTTTGCTGTATTAATTTAGGGAATATTTCGTGTTGTTGTCAGCAGTAAAAAAACCAAAGCTCTTGCTTAGATTCCTTTTAGTAAAGCTGTAAAGAAAATGAAAGAAGGATGAATTCATGAAAAGAGTGCCAAAAAAATCACTGTTCCTACATATATTTATACAAGTGTTGAAAATGGTTTTAAAAAAAGTTAAAAATTTTGAGTTTCTTGATCAAGTAAAAGCCATATAGCAGTCAGAACTCAGGAGGACGACAAACATCAAAGATAATATTTTTATAACAAGGCTACGTACGTCATTTTAGGTTATTTTGTGGGCGTTAGTTAGAGATTCGAGGGCGACGTTTAGCGGCTCACTTAAAAAAATATGATAATTTAGTATTAAAAATAAACATGGCAACCATAAAATTGTTGGGCCACGAGGCCCACGACCTTAAAAAATGACATTTAGTGTAAAAATAATTATGAACATGTAAAAAAAAAAAAACATTTATTAATAAAAAATGAACATGTCAAAAATAATTATGAACATGTAAAAAAAAAAAAGAACATTTATTAATAAAAAATGAACATGTCAAAAATAATTATGAACATTATATTGAAAGTGAACATTTATCATACAATAATAAATTAGCTAGACCACACCTAATAAAATGAACATTTTATAAAAATATGTGAACATATTAAAGAAAATGAACATTTAGTATAAAAAAATGAACACGTGAAAAAAAATTATGAACATTTATTTAGTATATTAAAAATGAACATGATTTTTTTATATTCATATAAATTCAAATTCATTATATATAATTATTAACGGAAAATAAAGATAAAATAAATCATTAAAATATGTTCAATTTTTACGTACTAAATGTTCATTTTGTACTAAATGTTCAATTTTAAAGTACCCGTGTTCACTTTTTTTCCAAAAATTATACACAAATATTAGCAACTCAATTAAAAATGAAATCAAAATTCATAATAACAAACAAACTAAAGATGTAGCAACTCAATAATTCATCACAAAAACTCATTAATTAAATTAATATTCATAAAAAATTCAAAAATTCAGTTGAAATAGTCTAATTCACTATTTTTATCAAAAAGTCAATTGAAATTCATCAAATTCCTCAAATTGAAATTCACCAATTATAAAATCAGAAAAATCAATTACAAATCCAGCCCAAATCTAACCTAATAAAAGCTAATTAAAAATCGACAACACAAAAACTAACCTGCATTGATGATCTCTTTTAGATAACAACCAAATCCATAATAATGTTGAAAACAAAGGAAAAAGAAAATGGTGACGATTGCGATGAAGATGATGGAGAATGCTACAATGGCGAGGAATTGGAGAATATCCAAAGTAGGAGGATAAAGAAGATTAAAGATTGAAGGAAAGTGAGGTTTAAGAAAGAAAATTTACTTATAAGGAAAGGGAAAAAAAAAAAAAGGAGAGAGAAAATTTTGAATGGAGAAGAAAACAGATAAAGAAAATTAATGGAGGTGAGGAAGAAGAAGAGAGACATGTAAATATAAGGAAGGGAGAAAAAACGTATGTTCGATTTTTAAGTATTATATGTTCATATATATGGTTGTTGCAGTTAGCTTAGCTGAACAAGTGTATAGCTAAGAATTTGTGCTCAAAACCCCCAAAAGATTCGAGGAGGCAGCCGTACAAAGAGCCAGTGCAAAACCCTCATAAAAGCTACTGTATAAAGACCACGAAGGAGGAAAACAGCAAGAGGAGAGGGCGAGAGGACGCCGAACAACAACATTGGAGCAGCCGCGAGCTACTCCGAGGAGCAACAATTGAAATTGGTGTTTGTTCTTTCTCTTTGTTTGATTAATTTTGTTCTAATTGCTATACTTTGTGACGTTAGTATGTCAATTATGGATTTTTCATTATCAAACGAATTGGGTGTTCTCTTAATTTCCATGTCTGGCTAAACTTTTTTGTTCTAGGTTAGGGATGTAGTCTCTTACAATTTATCAATGAATTGAATTATTTTGTTTGGGTTCTATTTATATGATTGCAATTTGATAATCTTGTTTTAATTCGTACTTTTAATCTGGCCAATTGATTGTATGTTAAAGGTATTGATTTATTAGCAGGAGTGAACTTTCAATACTAGTTCGTGGGATTATCAAACGTCAAGCAGTATAATTTTAGTAATAGTTATACACTTGGGGTGGTCTTTATTGAATTCCTATTCACGTAACATCTTTGCTGAAAATATGGTAGAACCACCAGCAAAGATGTTACGTGAATATGCAATGCCTGATGCTAGTTCAACCTCTGCAAGTATAGTAAGACTTTCTATTCAAGCTAATAATTTTGAACTTAAGCCTGCTTTAATTCATATAGTCCAGCAAGATCAGTTTGGGGGATCACCCATTGAATGTCCATTAGAACATTTAGTTAATTTTCTTTAAAAATGTGATATTATTAAGGTAAATGGGGTTAGTGAAGATGCTATTAGACTTAGGTTGTTTTCGTTTTCACTAAGAGATAAGGCAAGAAAATGGTCATCTTCTAAATCATCTGATCCTTTCACTACTTGGACCTCTTTGTCTCAAGCTTTTCTGAATAAATTTTTCCCACTTGGTAAAACGGCTAAATTGCGTAATGATATTACTAATTTCACTCAAAATGATTTAGAGTCATTTTATGATGAGTCTTGGGAAAGGTTTAAAGATTTTCAACATCAATGTCCTCACCATGGAATACTTGATTGGCTACTTGTGCAAACTTTTTTTTGGCTTAAATCACTCTATTAGAAGTACTATAGATGCTGCAGCAGGTGGTGCTTTAATGAGTAAGACTACTGAAGAAGCTAATAAGTTATTAGAAGAACTTGCTTTTAATAATTATAGCTGTTCTAGTGAAAGATCTATTGCTAAAAAGAGTACAAGGATGTATGATGTGGATGGTATTAACATGTTAAATGCTAAGGTTGATAATTTGACTAAAATTTTCAGTAAAATGAGTAATGTTAGTCCTATTTCTAGTCCTGATTTATCTTGTGATAATTGTGGGGGTGCACATACTAGTAATGATTGTCCTAATTTTGAACAAGCTAAATTTGTTTCTAATCATAATCGATCACAAAATGACCCCTATTCTAATACTTATAACCCTGGCTGGAAGAACCATCCTAATTTTTCTTGGAGAGATTAAGGAAACCAAGGTAGTAACCTTAGACCATAAAATCCACCTGGTTTCCCACAAAGACAACAACAACCACAACAAGAGAGACCTTCATGGGAATTAGCTATTGAAAAACTTGCTAATGCTACTTTTGAGAGAATTATAAAATTGGAAAATAAGGTTGATCAATTAGCAAATTCAAGTTCAGCTAGGCCAATTGGCGAATGCTATTAATTCTAGAAACCAAGGAAGTCTGCCTAGTAAAACTGAGGTTAACCCTAAAGAGCAATGCAAAGTTGTCACCTTAAGAAGTGGTAAAACCCTTGATGATATAACTGTTGAAGCCAAGGCTAAAGAAGTAATTGATGAAAATGCTGAAATTGAACCTGAAAAGCAACCTAAACTAGAGGGTGATGATTCTAATCCTATTCCTGTTCCTGTTAAGCCTTATGTACCTCCCATTCCTTTTCCCCAAAGAGTAGAATAAAGTGGATCATCAATTTGAAAAATTTCTTAAAATGTTTAAGCAATTGCAAGTTAATATTCCGTTTGCTGATGCATTGATGCAAATTCCTTCATATTCTAAATTTCTTAAAGAAATCATGTCTAAAAAGTGGAAATTAGAGGATTATGAAACTATTGCTTTGAGTGAAGAATGTAAAGCTGTAATTCAGAATAAGCTTCCTCCTAAATTAAAAGATCCTGACAGTTTTTCTATTCCTTGCACTCTTGGTGATGTTAATTTTTCTAAAGCTTTATGTGACTCAGGTGCAAGTGTTTCTCTCATGCCATTGTCTATTTACAAGAAGCTTGGTTTGAATGATTTAAAATGCACTACTATTTCATTGCAACTTGCTGATAGGTCTGTTAAATATCCTCTAGGAGTAGTAGAAAACGTGCTAATGAAAGTTGGTAAATTTATTATACTTGTTGATTTTGTTATTCTTGATATGGACGAGGATGTTGACGTGTCTATTATTCTTGGGAGACCATTTTTAGCTACAGCTGGTACTATAATTGATGTTAAAAATGGCATGTTAACTTTTAAAATTGGTGAAGAAGAGGTACAATTCAATTTGTTTCAATCTGCTAAATACCCTTCCTTTACTGACCATGTGTTTAGAGTTGATGTGCTTGATGAATTAAATAGAGAAATGATTGATTCTATTTCTAAAGATACCCTTGAAATGTGCCTAACAAGTGCAGGTACATCCCATAATGATGATGTTGAGGTGCTGGAAATAGCCAATGCTATAGAGGCATGCCCTCCATGGAAGAAAAGAGGTAATCATTTTAAGAAACTCGAGAAAGGTAATCCTCTTCCTCCTCCCTCTAGTGTGCAAGCACCTACTTTAGAATTAAAGCCTTTGCCATCACATTTAAAATATGCTTTTCTGGGTGAAAATGATTCCTTGCCTGTTATTGTAAATGCTTCACTATCTAATGAACAATTAGATAAACTTTTGCGTGTCTTAAGGGAAAGAAAGAAAGCAATTGGTTGGACTATTTTTGATCTTATTGGAATAAGCCCATCTGTTTGTATGCATAATTAATTTTGCTAGAAGAAGATTATAAACCTATTGTTCAAAATCAAAGAACACTAGGCGAAAATTGGTAATTAGCACCGGTTCAAAACCCCCATTTAGCACCGGTTTTGGACCGGTTCTGATTTGAGGGATGCCAAAACCCAAGACTTTTCGCACCGGTTTTGAACCGGTGCGAAAAATTCCCCAAAAAAATTTTTAAAAAAACTTTTCGCACCGGTTCTTGCTGTAAACCGGTGCGAAAAGTCCTGGCGCGCCTTTTTTTTATATATACTTTTCGCACCGGTTCTAGTTGTGAACCCGTGCCAATAACTGCTTTTTTTTTTTGCAATAAATAATAATATTAATACTAATAATAATAATAAAACCTGTACATCCTGCATTAATTCTACCATTATTATATATTATAATAACAATAATAATAATAATTATTATTATAATATTATAAATAATACTAATAATAATAATAATAGTAATAGTAATAATAATTTCTAAATTGAAGTAATAACAACAATATATAGATATTAATTAATAATCTCTAATGCAATACAATGAAGTGTCATATTTACAATTCCTCAACAAAAAAAAAGTGTCATATTTACAAATAATACTAATCAATAATGTAGTTAACAGTTCAAATAGAAATGACATTTACAAATTAAATGTGATGAAAGTCGCCAACATGTCTCGAACTTCATTAAGTTCCTTGCTCGTCAACGGACCTCCCTTTTGTACCTTGCAAAACATGGAATAAACAAAAAGTATGTTAGAATCAATTACTTAGGTTATGCATGTAAAATACATTTACAAGTTCAGTTAGGCAAAAATTTATTACTTAGGCCTATATGACTACTACTTCCCCTATTTTCTACAATTCTTATCAAATCAACTCATTCTTTCTCATAACATGTCAATATTACTTAGTTACAGGCAACTAAGGCTTGAAATCACATGAAAAGAGCAATTCAAGGGTTTTAGGACGCATTTTCCTCCAAAATGGCCCAAATAAGGCCTATATGACTACTAGGATGCCTATTTCCTACATTTCTTATCAAATCAACTAATTCTTACTCATAACATGTCATTATTACTTAGTTATAAGCGGCTAAGGCTTGAAATCACATGAAAAGAGCAATTCAAGGGTTTTAGGATGCATTTTCCTCCAAAATGGCCCAAATAAGGCCTATATGACTACTAGGATGCCTATTTCCTACATTTCTTGTCAAATCAACTCATTCTTTCTCATAACATGTCATTATTACTTTGTTATAGGCGGCTAAGACTTGAAATCACATGAAAAGAGCAATTCAAGTATTTTATGACGCATTTTGATCCAAAATGGCCCAAATAAGGCCTATATGACTACTAGGATGCCTATTTCCTACATTTCTTGTCAAATCAACTCATTCTTTTTCATAACATGTCATTATTACTTTGTTATAGGCGGCTAAGGCTTGAAATCACATGAAAAGAGAAATTCAAGTGTTTTAGGACGCATTTTGATCCAAAATGGCCTAAATAAGGCCTATATGACTACTAGGATGCCTATTTCCTACATTTCTTGTCAAATCACATGTTAAGAGCAAATAAACTAAGTCAATGGCATACCTCATCAAGCTGTAGTGTGTCTGTACAACGACTCACTATGTTAAACATGAATCTCATCACGTATAGGCCACAATCAACTCCGTTATCTTGTTGTGTGCACTAGCATAGGAACAAAGTACATGAATCAAACATGCATAGCAAATTAGTAACATTTTACGCATTGTTTATTACGAAAATCACAACATCATGTGGCATTACCATCGGGGATTTCCATGTGGGACCTTAAGGAGCTCGACAATTTATCTTCTTCATAGCACTGTAGAAAAGTAAGTTCAAATTTGATTAGTATGACTAATAAATGAGTTGGGTAATGATAATTAACACTAGGTAGCTTTATTTACTTTTGTAGTATGGACTTCACGAGGAGTTTTTTTGGATGAGGCAATCGAGCTGAATCAAAAAGGAAGATTGTGTTACTGGAAACACAAATCACCAATAGGGTCCAATGCAAACTACATAAATTCACAATAGACAAACAAATCAATAATTAGCCATGTACAACATTTAATCAGGGGAAACAAATGAATTTGACATAGTTAGACGTACTCCTCATAACATGGGGCGAATATGAACTTGTCTCCCGCATGCACTGATTCCTTGATACTCCATTTAACATAATTCAACACGTCATTCTAGTAGTGGAGATCTGCTCGGGGCATAACCACCCAACTTGACACGGAGAATCAATGTCATGTAAGTGCTCCTATAGTGCTCTACATGCATGATAATAGAATATTAATGGAATTATAAACGACAATCACCACTAATCTGAATAACATAATTTGAGTGGCTTGAATTACCTCATGAATGTTTGAATGAGGGAAATGTTAAGCATCAAACCACTTAGAAATTCCTTCACATCTTCTTTGTTGAGCCATGCAATTACATCGTCATCATAGTGGAACAATGCCTTAGGTAGTGAAACTTCAATGGGAGTGTCACTAGACAACATACTAACACGGTTGTGTAGATAAGTTAAATCTTTAGAGAGCGGTTGAAGGACCGTGTCTGCAACAATTGGAGTAGCTTGCATAGATGAACCTCTCAAAAAATGCATATATGCTTCCAAAGGGTCCTTATCGCTCCAACCTAACCCATCCTTGAACGTGTAATCTCACTAGTGAATGTATGTCGCTTTCCAATTTTAAGGAAAATCCGGCAGCATTTCCCCCCGGTTCTCCAAGTACACGATGTAGATAATTACTTACCCACATATGTACCTAGAGAACAGGGTGAGGAAATGATAAGCCAAGATGTTCCTTAAAATCGAAAAAAAAGACATACATTCACCACCTAAGTGAGAGTAAACGTTCAAGAACAGTCCCAGCCGGGGACTTGATGAGTCTATTTTATATATATTTTTATTTCCCGTCCCACGGTCATATTTGTGCTTATTTAAGCTCTGCGGAGCTATTTTTATTACTAATATACGTTTTCTAGTGTTTTTGTAGAGTTGGTATTATTTTGTAGGAATTTGCAGAGTTATGACAATTTCCGGTCTTATTAGACCACTGAAGATATTGGAGTCGGATCGTATTTTATGACCGTATATTTGAAACCCAAGATTGAGCTAATTAAATTTGGTTTTGTGATTAAGGGCTCGGTTCGTTTGGATACTAATTTTGTTGGTAGTCTAATACTTGAATATGGAGAAGAGCCCAATAATTAAATCAGATTTGAAGATCACTCAAATGGGCGGATATCAGCGCTAGGCTACTTCAGCTATTGGGCTTATGCATTCTTGGGCCTGATTGCTTGCTCCTGTTGTTGATGATTGGTGATGTCGGTTTAGGAGTAGTACTATTAGTTTTAGTGGGAGACTGGGAGTAATAGTTGACTTCCTCTAAAACTCCTCTTCATTGTTTTATAAAAACAATAGTAGTACGTAGGTTCAGAGGGGGGTAGTAATAGTTTTAGTTTTAGTTTTAGTTTAGTTTTTTTTCATTAGTTTTAGTTGTACGTTTATTGATTTAGTATTAAAATACTTCTGTTTACTGTTGTTTAATTATTGTTTTCATGTTTAGTCTTTTATTATTATTTCTATTATGCTTTATTTAATTGTTTTATTTAATTGCTTATTGATTTTAACCATGCTTGATTTATTTGCTTTGCTTAGTTTAGATTTAAATATGTGTGAGTAGTTTTATTTCTAGGATTGTGGGGATCCATAAATAATATGAAGGGGTAGTTTATTATTGTTGATTGTCAATGTTTGATTGATTTCCTATCGATTGATTTAATGCTATGCAATTAGATTAGGCCTGGTTTAGTTGTATGAGTTATGCAATATTAATTCGATATTCGAGAGATGAGAATTGATGTTTAGGCTTAGTTTCAATAGGCAGGTTAATTTATAAATGGTTAAGTCAAGATTCGAGAGATGCGATTTAATGCCGGTAGATTAATTATGTGATTGTAATACGTAGCGAAAGCCCTTTATGATCTGATTAATTTATGCATTGATAATTGATTGTTATGTTTTACCCTGGAATATTATTTATTGGTGAACCTATACCCTAGGCCTTTTATTATTGTTTTCCTCCTTTATTCAACTTGTTTTAGTTTAATTATTTCCCTTAGATTAATTGATATAAAATCCTATTTGCTACTTGATAATTTAGATTATATTAATTGATTAGGAATAGAAAGACTTGTTTTCCTGTGGATTCGACCCTACTTCCCTATCTATTTTAGTTAGTGGTTTTAGGAATTACTTTTGATCAGGTGATACGACTTTATCCTGTTAGGACTATTCAAGACTTTCTCCTAATGAGAAAGCCTTGAACGGGTACCTAGGCATATGATGATGCAAGCAGTTTATATATTGTTGTATTTATTTATCATTAAACAATACACAAGTTGTAATAGCATGAAAAAGCTTTTATTAAATGAATAAAGAAAAAGAAATATAGATTAGAAAAGTTTATAATTCATACCACTATAGCAAGTACAATGGATGTATTCTTTCTAACTTCCCACTTGAGCTAAGTATGTAGTCTTCAAGCTAAACTTGTGCTTCAATTCACATGTGAATCTATAAAAAAACAAAAAGAAAAAACAGAACAAAAAACAAAAGTTAGTAAGTATGAACTATCATTTGTCAATTGGAAACTATTAACTATCAAAAGTATCAATCTATCATGTCTGTCAATCGAAAATTTTTTATGGCTTTGCAAATTTAGTTTCATTTTATTATTTATTTTATTTTATTTGTCTCAATTCCTTTCCTCGGTTTTGTGTATAGGGGTTCGGGTTTTGTGTGACCACCCGTTACCCAAAAATCGACCACCGCAGCCACCCTAACCACCCACGAAACCCCTAAACCCCCCACGAAACTGCCTCCCCATTGACTACCTAAAAGAAATTCAAACCCAGAAAACCCAAAAGTGAAACCCAAACCCAGAAAACCCAAATCGAAATTAAGAGGGTTGCGGTGGGGAAGGAGGCTGGCCGAATTGAGGTTGCAGGTTTGGACGAGGGGTGGGCTTTTAGTTCGAGGGGGCGACGGATGGGAAGGAGAGGTGGGTAGGGAAACTGGGAAAGGCAGGTGGGGAAAGGGGAAGGGGTGGTGAGGTGGTGTCTGGTGTGGTAGTGGTGGGGAGCTGTTGCAGCCACACTCACCGAACAAAACCAGCAGCCCCTGCTTCACCATTCACCAATCAACCAATCCCACCCAAAACATATCAGCCATACTCTGTAATTTGTCCACACCTGCCACATCTCACCAAACTCCCCTGTTCCCTCACAACCCGCAATTCATCCACCAAATACCACCGCAGCCCAACCACTAAAACACGTAATACCCATAAAAAATTTGCAAGCTCACAACAAGGCAATAACTCAATGCGCAACAAGTTTATGCGGTAGTAAACTAACCCTAGATTACAAGAACTATATACTGAATTCTAAAATGAAATTAACGACAAACTCTAGATTGCGAAAACTGAACTCGATAATCTAAAAAGGACAAAAACAAATTCTTACCTCGAAGCTGCTTCAATGGAGATGAGAAAGCTCAGAATTTGCTTCAATGGAGAATTAAAAGTACGCGTAATGGAGGAGTGATATGGACAAAGCTCAAAATGCGCTTCAATGGAGAACTACGAGCACGCGTAATGGAGGAGAGCGAGATATGGAGAAAGGTGAAACTTCAGAGGTGGTCGAAGCTAAGAGAAGGGCGAAAACGAGAGGGAACAGAAAATGAAAAGCAGGGGGAAAGAAAGAAAGAAAGAAGAAGGGCGAAAACGAGAGGGAAAACAGAAAATGAAGAAGACCGATTTTTTTTTATTTCGCACCGGTTTGAACCGGTGCTAAAACACTATTTCGCACCGGTTTGGTTTGAATCGGTGCGAAATCCCTTTCTCCCCTTTTTTTTCTCTTTCTTAATTCGCACCGGTTTGAACCGGTGCGAAAAAGATAATTTCTCACCGGTTTAATAGGAACCGGTGCAAAAAGTCTTTTTCCCAATCTCGCCCATTTATTTTAACACCGGTTTTCAAGAACTGATGCGAAAAGTACGGTGCCTATTTCATTTTTTCTACTAGTGGAAGATTAAACCCTAACATGCAAGAAGTAGTTAAGAAAGAAGTTTTAAAATGGTTAGATGTAGGAATAATTTATCCTATTTCTGATAGTACTTGGATTAATTCTGTACAAGTGGTACCTAAAAAAGGTGGAATGACTATTGTGCCTAATGATAATAATGAACTAATCCCTACCAGAACAGCGACTGGTTGGAGAGTTTGCATAGATTATAGAAAACTTAATAGTGTAGCTTGAAAAGATCATTTCCTTTTCCATTCTTAGATCAAATGTAAGAGAGAGTTGCTGATCATGACTATTATTGTTTAATTTCTTGATGGATATTCTGGTTTTAATCAAATTCTCATTGCTCCTAATGATCAGGAAAAGACTATCTTTACCTGTCCTTATGCATGGTACATTTGCTTTTCGTCGAATGCCTTTTGGTTTATGTAATGCTCCCGCTACTTTTCAGCGTTGTATGATGTCTATTTTTTCTGATTATATAGAATAAATTATGGAAGTGTTTATGGATGATTTTTCTGTTTTTAGATCATCTTTTGATAATTGTCTAGCTAACCTTTCTCTGATTTTGCAACGTTGTGAAAAGACTGATTTAGTTTTAAATTGGGAAAATTGTCATTTCATGGTACAAGAAGGCATAGTACTTTGGCATAAAATTTTTGCAAAAGGAAAATTGAGGTAGATCGTGCAAAAACAAATCGAAGTAATTGAAAAACTCCCACCTCCTATTAATGTTAAGGGAATTAGAAGTTTCCTATGCCATGCGGATTATTACAGATGCTTCATTAAAGATTTTTCTAAGATCTCTAAACCCTTATGTGATTTGTTAAACAAAGATGCTCCCTTTGATTTTAACTCTGAATGTCTGCATGCATTTAACAAATTAAAGCAAGAGTTAACTTCAGCACCTATTGTGATAGCTCCTGATTGGAATTTCCCTTTTGAGCTAATAATATGTGGTGTTTGTAATTATGCTCTTGGTGTTGTTTTATGACAAAGAAAAGATAGAAAGTTGCATGTAATTTATTATGCTAGCAAAATGCTCAATGATGCTCAATTAAATTACACAACTACTGAAAAAGAAACGCTTGCTGTTGTGTTTGCCATGGATAAATTTAGGTCTTATCTTATAGGGTCTAAAGTAATTGTTTTCACAAATCACTCTGCTTTAAAATACTTGTTAAGTAAAGAGGAACCTAAGCCTAGACTAATTCGTTGGATTCTTTTACTATAAGATTTTAATTTAGAAATTAAAGATAAAAAAGGCATTGAAAATCCTGTTGCAGAACACTTATCTAGATTGGAAATTGATAATAATTCTGAAATACTTATAGATGATACATTTCCTGATGAACAATTGTTGGCTATTGCTAGTATTCCTTGGTATACTGATTTAGTAAACTATCTGGTAAGTAGTATAATTCCTTCAAATTTAAGCTATCATCAGAAAAAGAAATTTTTGTGGGATGCTAAACATTATTTTTGGGAAGAGCCTTTGTTGTATAAATTTTGTGCTGATAGTTTAATTAGAAAATGTGTGCTTGAAGAAGAATTTCATAATATACTGTTTCATTGTCATTTCTTTAGAATGTGGTGGTTATTTCAGTACAAATAAGACAATAGTTAAAGTTTGGCAATCTGGTTTTTATTGGCCAACTATGTATAAAGATGCTAGAGACTATGTTAGCAAATGTGATAGATGTCAACGAGTAGGTAACATATCTAAAAGAAATGAAATGCCTATGAATATTATGCCTGAAGTTGAGTTGTTTGATGTGTGGGGAATTGATTTTATGGGTCCTTTTCCCTCTTCTCATAACAATAGATATATTTTAGTTGTTGTTGATTATGTTTCTAAATGGGTAGAAGCTATAGCTACTCATACTGATGATTCAAAAGTTGTTATGAAATTTCTTAAAAAGAATATTTTTTCTAGATTTGGTGTTCCTAGAGCGATTTTAAGTGATGGAGGCTCTTATTTTTGTAATAAGCCGCTTGATTCTCTTTTAAGAAAGTATGTGTTTAAACATAAAGTTGCGTTAGCTTATTATCCTCAAACCAATGGTCAAGTAGAGCTTGCTAATAGAGAGTTAAAGCAAATTCTAGAGAAAACCATGAATATTTCTAGGAAGGATTGGGCTAATAAGATTGATGATTCTTTATGGGCATATAGGACAACCTTTAAAACATCTTTAGGCATGTCTCCTTAAGGCTAGTTTATGGAAAATCTTGCCATCTTCCTGTAGAAATAGAGCATTAGGCATTTTGGGCAATAAGGGAGTTAAACATGAACCTTAAGACTACTGGGGCTAAGAGATTGCTACGATTGAGTGAATTAGAAGAGTTTAGGTTAGATGCTTATGAGAGTGCTAAAACATATAAATAGAAAATTAAACTTTGGCACGATAAGCACATTAACCATAAAACTTTTGAAGTGAGACAGAAAGTTTTACTCTTTAACTCAAGTTTGAAATTGTTCCTAGGAAAGTTGCGATCAAGATGGTCTGTCCCATTTACTGTTGTGAAAGTTTATCCATATGGTGCAGTTGAAATACAAGGAAACTCTAATGTTTTCAAGGTGAATGGTCAATGACTTAAACCGTACTTGGTTGATGAGATGGTGCCTACAGGAGTGACTTACTCCTTAGAAGAACCTACTAAAGAATAAGCACCATGATAGTCACGCTCGTGACTTAAAACACGCGCTACTTGGGAGGCAACCCAAGCTCTTTTCCTTTTCCTTTTTGATTTATGTTTTGTTTTCTCTCGTTCCTATTTTGTTTTTTCTGTCTCTTTTTCTGTTTCCCTTTGCTGTTCAGAATTTAATGAAGATGGTGAGCTGGACACTTCAATTCTAATTGAAGAGAAGAGAGTAACTCTTTTGCTAGCAATAATCAGTACTTGATGGGATATGCTGCTTCAGGGAAGTAGTTGTTATGCGTCAGGTGGTGCCAGTCAGTTTTAACAGCTATTCCTCTTGTACTTAACTCGTGTTGCTGAGCTTTGAATGCTGCAAATACCAAGCTACAATTTCCATCAGGTTGTCTCTTTCCATGCCTTTTGTTTCCTTTTTGTTCTTTGCCGCTATCTTTACTCCTACTTTCTGCTCTTCATTTTTGGTTATAACATTGAGGACAATGTTTGTCCTTAAGTGTGGGGGAGAGGACTTAGAAATTTTCTGCAATTGCCTTTTGTGTTTTAAATTTATAGTTCGGTTTCTTTGTGTTACCATGTATGAAACATGGCTGGATTTTGTGCAGGTTTTCACTTGGTTATTTTTTTTGATATATGCCTATTTTAGGGGAAGCGCTGCAAAATTTTCTGCAGAATTTTCATGAAAAAAAAAAAAAGTTTTGTTTTGATTGTCACTAATTGACTTATTTTGGATCAATAAGAAAAAAATACATGATATGTAAAGATAGCATAAGTCCTTCATTGACATTGTTTGTAGTAAGAAGGATTGCTTTTCCCTTATGCGTTGAATCCCGAAAGGAGGGCCACGAACCTCGTAAGACTCAATTATCTACGTATTTATCCTTGTTCTTGATTGCTTAAATTGGGACTTACATTCTAGCTTCCTGAGATCAAAGTCCAAGGTGTGTGAGAAATGATAAATTATTTTTCTTTCATGATTAGAACCTTCAGAATTTAGGCTCACTCATATTTTTTTTTTCTTTTACATTTTCCCTGTTGCTTAGTTTTGTTGTGCCGTAATATCCTCTTTTGGCTAATCCTACATTACAAGCTTATGACCTTTACCTATGCCTTGCTAAAAGGAGTGATGTTATTATTGATTTATGTCGTAAGTTTTGTAATAGAAAAGGGAAGGAGAAAAAAAATAAAAATTGAACACACGAGAAAGAAATCAAAAGAAAAAAAAATGAGCCCTGAAAGAAAAAAAATGAAAAGAAGGGTCGAAAAAAAAAACAAAAAAAAAAGTTGAAAAAAGAAAACAAAAATATTGTACGATTGAAATTGTTTGAAAATGATGAATGTATGATGAAAAAAGGGGGTTATAGTTTAAAAATTGGAGTACGGTGATGATATATTAGTAAGAGTTGAATATGATCTCTATTTCTAAAGGTTGTGTACTACTCTTTTAGCTTGGCATTTTTACCACTACATTCCTAAATATTAACACCCTTAACCCTAGCCTCATTACAACCATATAAAAGTCCTTTTGATCTTTGTGCACTATTGGTCTACAAATGGTGGAAGGTTAGATTTTATGCAAGTCTTGACGAGGGTCATCAAACGGAAGAGAGGCATGAGCTAAAATGGTTGAGCATCCCTAGGGTGGATTCAAATATGGGGGAAAGAAGCGGTAAGAATGATTGGTTAATGAGGGTGCTAATTTTTGTTTCGTATCACACTTGATCCATTCTTGTTGATTGTGACAATATACTAATGTTGGAATGAAATTGAATTTGAAATTCTTTATATGATTGATTATTATTTGCTCGAAGACTAGCAAATCTTAAGTGTGGGGGAGTTGATAAGTCACTATTTTATGTACTTAATATCTCTTTATATTACTATTTTTGGTACAATTTTATAGGCTTTTATAGAGAAGTGTGTGAATAATTATAAAAAAATAGTTTGTATCAGATAATTTAAAAGTCTAATATTTTATGCCTTTACAAAGCTATAAAATTATTAATTTGATATGTTCATACATTCCTTTAGCTACTTACACTCTGTCACTTATTTTTCGTTAAAATTAGTTCATGAAGTTCATGTGCCTATTCTATGTTTACTTGTAGGTGGAAATTAGATTATTGTGGAAACTTATTATTTTCCAAACCTTGCTATCACATGAACGTCAGGCATCTCACAAGGCCCAAGTGCAACACTTCAGCTAGAATACAAAGACCAATTGGTCTAAGCTACACCCTTATACAGCTATTTTAGCTGCAACACTATCCCACAAGCCCAATTTCAAACGTGCCCCATTAAAAAAAAAACCCCAAATCAAAACGAGCCCACTAAAAATTCTGAACATATCTTTAAAATGCAGCCCACCCAATTGTCGTTTATACAAAACGTCAATTCCAACAGCTATTTTTATATTTTTACAATGTAATTTTAAAAAACAAAATCGTCACTCTCAGACTTAAATTTCTGAAATTTATTACTCATCTCTTTGATTTTCTCTCTCTTACAATCAAACACAATTCACTCTCTCTCCTCCAAAACAACCATGGATATTTGAGATGAGACAAAAATCAAACGGATTCTCCCAAAAAAGGTAATTTTATGTAAATTTCACTTAATTTTGTTTGAATTTATATGAATATCACTATATTTTTGTTTGAATTTATATGAATATCACTTAATTTTGTTTGAATATTGTTCGATACTCTGTTGTTCGAAATTTTTATTGAAATTGTTAAAAAAAATTAGTGAAATCAAACGGATACCTTATGTTCATAAACTATTTTGAAATGTTCATAATATTATTATTTGTTGTTCATATGATAAATATTCTTAATGTTCATAAATTATTCTCATTTTGTCTGTTTATGCTTATATTCATATTTTGAATGCTTATGTTCACTTTCTGAAGTGTATATGTTCATATTTGTTATGCATATGTTCACTTTCGTTCTTAAATGCTTATGTTCATATTTTGAATCCTTTTGTAAACTTTCTGAACTGCTTATGTAAACTTTATGAAATGCATATGTTCACTTTCTAAAATCCATATGTTCATATTTTTTTTTATGTATATGTTCACCTTCTAAAATGCATTGGCTCATTTTTTGAATGCGTATGTTCATTTTCGAAAATGCATGTATTCATATTTTTAGTGCATATGTTCATATTTTTAATACTTAAAATGCGTATGTTTCATAATCATTTTATTTTTTATTTCTTCATTTTTCTTATGTTCATAATTAAAGGCCGTAAATTCAATTTATATGAATTGCATGTTCACAAACCTAATCAAATTGATCAAAATTCATTACAAAATCACCACAAAAAATCGAAATTCATACATAGATCAAATTGATAGAAATTAAACAAAATACAATTACAATTGAATATAACCTTAAAAAAAACCTAATTACAATCAACAAAACAAAACACTAACCTGCATTGAGGATCTCTTAAGGAATAACAACTAATTCCATAGTAAGCAACAAAATCAATCGAAAAAGTGAAACAAAAGAGAAAAATAAAGAAAACAGAGGAGAGAGAAAATGAAGAACGAAAGAGGAAAAACAAAGGAGAATAAAATTTGATGAAAATTATGATCGAAATTTTGATGAAAATTTTGATTAAAATTATTATAGGAATGAAAAGTAAAGAGAAAAGTCCTACATTCAATTTGTGTTCATCACCTATTACAAATTGGCAAATTACCCAAAAATTATATATGCAATATCAATCACAAATTTAGAAAATATAACCAATTAAACCAAATTACAAATCAATAATATAAACTAACTTATATCAACAATCTCTTCAAGATTCCAATTAAATCCATCACGAATCAACGAAAATACAAAAAATGGAGGAGAGAGAAAATCTTAAAAGAAGAAGATAATGCCAAACACAGTGGAGAGAGAAAATTTTAACCAAAATTATGAATTAAGTAAAAAATTTGGAAAAAAGAGAAAAAATTAAGAAATAAGGAAAGAAATAGAATAGGAAAAAGATGAAGTAATATATACCAGTACTCCAGTAGTACATAGTATATATATGCGTGTTTGGTGTATAAAAGGGGGTATTTATAAAGTGGTGCAGCAAACTAGGGTGCATTTAAGAATATGCGTACAAAGACCCACTAACTTCTAATTAAGACCACTATCATCGATGAGGAGAAAACAAACCCCTCAATCTCTCTCTACCCACTTTCTCACTCTTCCCATCCAATTCCTCTCATGAGAGGTTTTTTTTACTACACCAATGCTCAAAAAAAAAAAAAACTCCTCATCACTTTATCCTCCCCTATTTACTATACCCCACCATAATACACATCACCTTTTTTTTCTCTTTTTTTTAATAATGTTTATACTACATATGTAACTTTCCAATACAATTAAAAATATGTAATATTTTATTTTTATAATTACATTTTAATTATACTGTAATAATTATTAATAATTTTTTATTTTTTTTTGTAATTTTTTTTTTGTAAATTTTTTATTTATTCAATTATTTACGGTTAAAATTTCTGAATATACCATTTACAATGTAATTTTTTATTTAACGTTTTAATTAGAATATAATAACTAAAGCAAATAATAGCAATTATAGATTCTACGAAAGATGTTTTTTTTTTAACTTAAACGATTAATTAGAAGCGCATTCTTGAAATGAACACATAAACGACAATACAAATACATCGGATAATAAAAACAGTACGGTTACGAACTTAAAAAAAGTTGTTTGGCTTAAACTAATACACGAACACGAGTATTAAAACCTAAAAACGATACGATTACAAACTACAAATTTGCTTATTCGGCCGTGTTATGACGAAAGTTCTGCCATATGTGTTCTACTAAATCTTGTTTGAGAGACGAATGAATTTCTCTATCACGAAGGGCAATCCTCCTTTGAAAGTACGCGTTAATGTTGGGTGGTCGCCCGACGTCGAATTCAAATGGCTCGTTGTTATTCACTGTGGTACTTGTGCTCGGTCCTGGTCGCGCTGTTGTACGTTGTGGTCGATCTTCTTCGTAGTATCGTCTCAAAACATCTGCACGTGTGTAGTTGTGTCGTTCATCCTCAACGATCATGTTGTGCATTATTATACAGGCTTTCATAATGTCACAAAGAATATCTTCGTCGTATGCAAGTGATGGTTGTCGTAGTATAGCAAACCTGGCTTGTAAAACTCCGAAAGCCCGTTCAACGTCTTTCCGAACTGCTGCTTGTTGATGAGCAAACAACTTGTCTTTTTGAACTTGAGGATGTGTTATACCTTGTACAAAAGTTGGCCATCTCGGGTAAATCCCATCTGCCAAGTAGTAGGCCAACTCATATTGATGTCCGTTTACCCAAAAATTTATTGGTGGTGTACAACCTTGTAAAACATCATCAAAGGTAAAGGACATTAAGATCATTATATGAGCCAGACATTCCAAAGAACGCATGCCAAATCCATAAATCCTGAACAGCAACGACTTCAAGAATGAGGGTTGCAGTTTTGCTACGACCAGCATACTGTGCTTTCCAAGCCGTAGGACAATTCTTCCACTCCCAATGCATGCAGTCTATACTACCAATCATGCCGGGAAACCCACGCAATTCATTTTGGTGAAGGATTCTCCTTAGATCTTCATCTGTAGGTTTACGTAGATATTCACTTTCAAATTGTGAAATAACCCCCTGACAAAAATGTTGCAATGCATTCCTTGAGGTTGTTTGGCCGATACTAGATATTCAATCCACGACATCGGGGGCTACGCCATACGCTAACATTCTTATTGCAGCGGTGCATTTCTGCAACGGTGATAAACCAATCTTTCCAGTTGCATTCCGACGTTGTTGGAAGAATTGATCCCCTTCAACCACCTTATTCATAATGCGACAGAACAAAGATCTTCGCATACGAAATCTACGGCGGAATTGGTTGTCGTTATACACTGCATTACTCGCAAAATAATCGTTATATAGTTGCACATGCCCTTTTTCTCTTTCCCTATCCCTTTTAGGCTTCGGGGGATTTGCTATATCATTATTAAGCTGGGATTCTTGTGATGAGTGTTGGGGAATTAAAATATGAGGTAGGTGGTTAGCAGCATAATCATCAACTAACCGATCAAATTCAACGTTATTTGAGAAATTAGAAGAACTAGAGCTTGAGGTGGAGGAAATGAAAGACATGTTTTGGTTATGGTTTGATAGTTGGTTTGTTTGGGATTCTTTTCGTTCAGAATAACACATGCATGTATATATAGTCCAAGTGACTATCAATGCATGTAAGTTGCTCCGATTTTGCATGTGAGTAACTCTGAATTGAAATTCATGTATCATTGCAATCTCTGCAATGAAATTGATGTGTCATTGCACGCTGAATTGCAATTGAATTATTGATGCATGTGATATATGACACTTGAACAGTTGATTTGACTCTTCAATAATCTATATCATTATCATTACTTCTGTTTAGTTGATATGACTCTTCAACATAAAACTGTGAAGATTTTATTGGGAGTTATATATTTGTCATTAACCAGTACATGTGATTATTATTATAAAAAATTTTCATAAAGTAAATAATTTATTGCATAATTAATGTTATAAAAAACATAATTCATTTCACATTAATGTAAATAAAAAGGAGTACATCTTAACATTAATTAAAATAAAAAGGACTACATTGAACATTAATTAAATAAAACAGTAGCAAACACATTAAGCTGATCATTATTACATGTTCCTTCTACCATAGAGTAGTGCACGTAATTCTTCCTTGTAAGCCTCTTCATCAGGAGTTAGGTCCGGTCCCTTTGCCATTAGATCTTGCAGCATTTCATAGTTGAGCCTTCTCTCTTGAATTTCGACTTGTTTTTGGTGAAGCTCTACTTGTTTTTGCTTCCTTCTTTCCCTTTCCATGTCGAAATCCAACTTCTTCAACCGCTTTTGTGCCTCAATTTCCCTACTTGCATTATTTTGCTGCATTTGCTCACTAATGTTTGAGACTTCAAAAGCCACTCCTTTTCCCTTATTACGCATGGACTTTGCCTTTTTAACTCCATCAGGTTGAGGAAGACCCCTAGAACTGAAACCGGTAACGGGAACAACATGTTCATCTTCGGTTCTACACCGCTTTTCACTTCCACTACTGTCATCTTCGACAGCATCACCGCAAGCTAATCTTTCCTCTCTTGACAACGCCCACCTCAGTTTTTTCCTCCACTTCGGGTCATTTTTAACCATTTCCCAACCATGGTGACAATTAAAATTATGTGGAGTAGGCTTGGAGGAAATATAGAATAACTTACTCGCATTATTAATTCGGTCTGCTTCGTTGTAACCACTTCCAATTGCCCTTCCAGCTTCGTCATAGCAACTACTCCATTGTATTAAATCAGTTTCCATCCTTCTCCAACGGCTTTCCAAACTCCTCAAAGGTCTTGGCGGTAGGATGTGGGGTTTCTCAGCCTGTGCTTGATCATATGCTGTAGATATTTTTTGCCATAGCGCAACTGCTTTTCGGTTTGTACCAACAATTGCATCTTCACTGAATTGAAGATACAAACAAATTAGAGCTTCATCCTCCGCAACAGACCGCATTCGACTTCTTTTTGTAAGTGGTTGGTTTTGATTCACAGACACTCTTGGAGGAGGTGAAGAGTATTGAGGAGTGTCTGGAACAGTTTCTTCCATTTCATCATCAAACTCAAAATTGCTCCCTTGATAAACAAGAGGTGAATGTGGTGCATATGTAGCGTTTTCGAAAGGAGTTTGATGAGGTGTTTGTTGTGGTGAATTTTGCAAAGAAGTGTTTCCAAGCCTATGTAGGAACAGCTGAAATCGAGGATTAGTGACAAATTAAAATCATCACCCAAATAAGAGAAATGATTAGAAAAATCAGGGTTTTTAGGATCCATAAGATGATAAAGTAGTACAGTAATACATCTTTAAACAATAATTTGTAAGAAATTCAACAATTACTAAAAAAAACAATAACTAAATTATATTTTCAGAAAATGAAAACAGCAGCAACAACAACAACAACAACAACAATAATAATAATAATAATAATAACAGCAATAATAATAATAATAATAATAATAATAATAATAATAATAATAGATGATCCTCAGTGCGAGCTGTTGTAGCTTAGGGCTTGTACCGGAGTTTCTAAGCTATACTTTGCATTGCGTACTTGTCCTCCTAGTACCTTTGAGACGGCTCAGCGCACATTCGATGGGGCACTTAGATCCTCATTGGAGCGTATTGTTACTGCTTCAGGGCCTGGGTTTGGCGATTGGCAATGGCGGCTTGCCACCTTGCCTTTTGCTTATGGCGGTTTTGGTGTTTATTCCGCAGGTGATATTCGACATTATGCTTTTCTTGCTTCCCGGTTACAGTCTGCTGGGTTGCAGACACAGCTATTACGACATGATGGTGTTGTTGGTCTTGGACGAGCCTTTAGAGATGCGTTGAGTTTGTTTAATGGAATAGTGGAGTCTGACATTATGAGTAATCCTAGTGAGGTCGCTGCCCCTAAACTCATAAAGAAATTGGCAGATATGTATTTCACAAAGGTTACCGCTTCTGCAGAAGCCGCTTATTCTTTGACTCCTCGACAATCAGCATTGTGGAAATCGCAACAGGGAGATCACACCTCTGCTTGGCTTCGGGCAGTCCCTATTTCTGGGTTGGGTCAGACGATGAACCCAAAGACCTACCGATGTGTGTTGTGCTATAGGATGGGTGTTGCATTGTTCTCTATCTCGACACCATGCTCTGCTTGTTCTCGGGTTTTTCCTGGGGATATTTTCGGTGATCACGCGGTGTCGTGTGCTGGTCTTGTCGGTATTAAACATCGGCATAATATTGTCCGGGATACCCTTGTTGATATCTGCTACAGATCTGGGATCTCGACAAGAAAGGAGGTTGACATAGGGTTGTCTGGAGGGAATGACGGGGCCCTTAGACCTGCTGATGTGTTACTTTATTCTTGGGATCGTGGTCGCGATGTTTGTGTGGACTTAACAGGGTCTTCTCCATTGACACAGACAGGGCTTTCGGACTTTGTTCCTGGACGGGTTGTGGCTGATGCGGCTCATCGGAAGCGGATGAAGTATGAAGCTAGTTGTCGGCTGATGGGGTATGGTTTCATTCCCTTCTCCTTTTCTTCGCTTGGGGAATTGGAGAAGGAGGCTGTCGTGTTGCTGAAGCGGGTTCAGTGGTTCTCGACGACGCAAGACATTGGGGCTCGTGCTGCAGCTTATATCTTCACTAGGGTAGACTTTGCTATAGCTAGAGGAGTGGGGGCCCAAATTGTATCTCGGCTTCCCACTAATTTGTTGTAGGTTGTATGACTTTATCTGTTTTTGAGATGATAATAATAATAATAATAATAATAATAATAATAATAATAATAATAATAATAGTAATAATAATAATTATTATTATAAGTATAATTATTATAACAGTAATTTTTTTTAAAAGAAAACCGTAATTAATAATAATAAGAAGAAGAAGAATTGAGGATTGGGAAATTAGTGAATATAAGAGATTTTTTGGGTTTTTGAAATTATATCAAAATGCATCTCTATTTATAGAGGAAAATTTTTTATAGCCGTTGGTGAATTTTTTTTTTTTTTAAAATTTTTATAATGGCAATATTACCGTTCTAAATATTATTACCGTTGCAAAAAAGGGGAATTTCCTGATTGGTTGCATTTACTGGCAACGACGCGTGTTGCTTCCCCATAGGTTGACCTGACGCGCGTCAATTGCTAGCAAATTAATATTTTTTTTCTGAGATCCCAACCAAAACGTCGTCATTTTGGCCTCAACAAGCACAAAATGACGCGTTTTGGCTGCAATCTCAGCAATCCACTTTCGTTGGCGTCAGTTTTACGGGGATCCCACAAGTGCACTGTTCATCCTTATTTCTCCTCATCTCTTGAGCGTTTTTCAATCCCCTCAACCATGAGAGAAATTCCTCTCATTGATGTGGTGTTCGGTTTTTTTTTTTACACCTTAACTTTTACTCGTGAGGGCTTTTCACTCACTGCTGGGAGTGCTCTGAACAAAAGCAAAAGAAGTAATAGTGGGTTGAAAACCCCAATAACTTAAAACCCCCAAAACATTCGAGGATGCAGCCGTACAAAGAGCCCAAGCAAAACCCTCATAAAAGCTACTGTATAAAGACCACGAAGGAGGAACACAGCAAGAGGAGAGGACAAGAGGACGCCGAACAGCAACATTGGAGCAGCCGCGCGCTACTTCGAGGAGCAACAATTGAAATTGGAGTTTATTCTTTCTCTTTGATTGATTAATTTTGTTCTAATTGCTATACTTTATGACGTTAGTATGTCAATTATGGATTTTTCATTATCAAACGAATTTAATTTTCATGTCTGGCTAAACTTGTTTGCTCTAGGTTAGGGATGTAGTCTTTTACAATTTATCAATGAATTGAATTATTTTGTTTGGGTTCTATTTATATGATTGCAATTTGATAATCTTGTTTTAATTCGTACTTTTAATCTGGCCAATTGATTGTATGTTAAAGGTATTGATTTATTAGCGAGAGTGAACTTTCAATACTAGTTCGTGGGATTATCAAACGTCAAGTAGTTTAATTTTAGGAATAGTTATACACTTAGGGTGGTCTTTATTGAATTCCTATTCTTAATGAGTTTATTTCAATTGTTTGATCATGAGAGTAGACATAATATATTGATTTAAATATACGTTTTTTTACCTTTGGAGAGGAGATTACATACTATTGGAAATTCGATCATTGTTATATTATATTTGTTCAACCCTGCAATTAGCATAATTTTATTATAGAGAGTATTTGACGAAACCCGAAACCTAGAACTATTTCTCATACTTGTCTGTCGTTTTTGTTAGTTTGCAACTTTAATTATTTAAAGGTTTAGTAGTATTTTTCTCATATTTTTCCGTCGTCAAAATAATACGAAGTATTTAGTTTCTTAACTTGGTGATTGAGTAAACCTCCTTGTAGATACGATATCTTGTTCACCCTGTATTTACAGTAATTAACCCCTACACTTGCGGTAGATTTAGGCCTGACCATGAGGTACTCATATTAGGTAGTTTAAAGAAGTCTTCACTTCATATGTTTCTGGTAATGTTGGGTAGAATTAAGATTAGTAGTACTACGTTTAATTTATTATTATATTGATTTCAGCTTATTATAAAGTAGCTATAAAAAAAATGTAGCTATACTCTTTAGCACTCATTCTCTTCAGCTTAAAAAATATACTAAGGATGCGTTTATTCACTTGTTTTTCATTTAATTACTTAATTTATCTGATTTAGTGTATTCAAATTATCATGTACTCTTATATATGGCCGTTCATGAACTTAATTATTAGCTCTAAGCTTATTTAATCTTAATTTTTCATAATAAGTAAAAATAAGATGAACAAAACACGACCCCTTAAACATGTACGTGATAAACTCCAAACAACTCCAACCGTTTATCTTGGAGATCAACCTGGTGCAGCTAGACTCCATATTAAGTAAGACAAACAAAAGGCTAACGCATAATTGGGCCATTAGGAAGTTTCCTCCTTTCATCTTCGTCAAGTGATTGAGATACCTCAGATCAATAAGGAGTTTGAGCTTTCTAGCATGGCAGTGTCTAACCACTACCAGTGTACAGTAGCATCGCAATTTCATTATGAAAGTCCAAATTGGAAGTTTGTGCAACAAAAAAAGCAAAACCATGATATGTTACCGAACTTCATGGAGTGATACTTACTTCGTACCTAATTATACTATACTCGCATGATTATTGGCAGGAAAAAAAAAACCTAGTCGTCCCCTCCTCTCTCCTTTTCTCTTCTAGGATTTATAAATTTTTGGCCGTTTAGGTCGAAAATAGTCTAATTTTTTGGAAATTAGACTATTTCCGATCCTTTAATTGTTTTTCTATAGCTTTGCATTTTAGGTTTCAATAAATCTACACGATTAGTGTAGATATTCGTAGTCCCCCTATGGTGGAGTGTCTCCCTGTGGTGGAGTTGTTAGTTTAGTTGTTTGTTTTTCGTTAGGGTTTATTTGTGTGTCAGGGCTTATAAAAAAAAGTAATCATCCTTTGCTTTATTATCAATTCGTTGGTAAACTTTTGTTCGGGATCGCAACGGTTGTCGAATTATCAAATGCGTTCATGCGAATCTTATAATAATCATCCTTACGGTTACAACAAATCGTTAGACCGTCTCTTTAAAAAGGCTGCATTTTTCAGCGATGTGTGCGAGGGATGTACCACAGTGCAAGATTTTTTCAACGATCGTAGCTTTGGTAAAGGAAACTTTTATTTGATTCAATTTTATGTATTTGTTAATTTAAATTTCATTTGAAGACGCCGTATGGCTTTTTATTAATGAATTGATTTTGTTAAAAAAAAAAACCATATTATACTATACTCCGTATTTGACTCTTTTATTAAATATTTAAATTGTTACCTTATATTTAATTTTTAAGGAAAATGATAATAAATACAATTCTAAAAAAGTTGTTAATAATGAACTACAACTAAAAATATCAAGCATAATTAGTTAAAGCAGGAAATCTTACTCATGCTGGTGATACGGGAAAGCCTTCGCTACCTCGACATCAATCGATATGTAAATTTTTTTATACATAACTAAATTAATACGAAGTATATGTTAGAGAAAAAGATATTCATGAAAATCAAACGAACAATGACTAGCAAGTAACAAGTACAATTTCCTAAAGATGCTACTTTGCCTTATCTAATTGGTATGCAATAATTTATTTCAAAGAGTTTAGCTTCTGTTCATTTTCTGAGATAAGGGGCAATTATGTTTTGCGTACCTTTTTTATTTTAAAAAAGATGTTATACAACTATTCATGTCTAAGATTACTTATTGAGGACACACAACTCACTTCCTATTCTCGACCCTAAACATAGTACTCCCTGCGTCCTCTAATACAAAACCTCATTTTCTTTTTGGGTAAACTAAAATATAATGTCTCTTTCTATTTAAAGGTTGTATTTTTTGACATTATTACTCTCTTTTTGATGATTTGTCATCTTTTTTCCTTTACTTTTTTGTACTTTTAACATCAATTTCCAACACTTTCTCTCTCAATCTCCTTAATTATTCCCAACTACTTTTTCGTTCTCTCTATCTCTCTCTAACCCCATGCACATATGTACTTTTAATCATTAATTTTAAAGAATTTACAACTTTCTTAATTCCCGCGCAAAAATCAAAAGAGGCTTTGTATTAGGAGACGGAGGGAGTACAAGTTATATAGTTTCACTTCCTCCTAAAATAATGAAAATTTACTTTGATGTTCCTCGACTAGTACCTTAACAACAACAAGGATTATTTTTCGCAATTAAGTGTGTTCAAAACTAGTACGTACAGAAAAATTAGACTGGATCAAGCTAGACCGAAGAAAACCGATTTAGTCTTCAGGTCGAGAAATTTTAGATACCAATCTTCAGTCTAATATGGTCCAAAACCTCATACGAAATATAAAATAATACTTCGTATGTAGCAGCACTAATAAAAATCATTTAATTGACATTCGATTGGTAAGGGATAATTAAGCGAATAATACATAACATATCAGATCGATAACCATTCTTTACCCCATCTCGCAAACTCGTCCCACTACCAACCCTAAAGTAAGACCACCTAATAAACCAACATAGAGATCAACCAAGAAGGAATCCATCCAAAAGAAGATCTCAAAAAGTTAATACTCGTAGTATCATTGACATTACTAAATTAATCACCTAACTGGACTAATAAACAACCACAAAGGTGAGCTAAGCTTCACTTCACCTTGAAAAACATCACATTTTCTCTATCATCAGCAAACCCTTATTTTAAAACCCAAGATAATTGGGTTTTTGGGCAAACCAATACGCAAATCAACTTTGATATTCTTAATAATTTCAACCCCTGTCGCATTCACCCAACTCTCTTAACACAAACTTCTTCTTCTTGCTTATTTCTGCAACACACAGAAAAAAGAAGAAGAATTTGAGGTTTTTTCAACCATAATTTCTTCTTTTTTCACTCTTATAAAGGAAGGATGTCTCTTTCTGTAGTTCAGGTGATTTTTTCAATAATTTTTGTAAAATTTTCATTGGTATATTTTATTGTTATTGGATTTCGAATTTTCATTTTGTGGGTTGTTTTTATTTTGTAATTTAGGGGTTTACCAAATCACTGGCCATGACTGTGCTTTCTGAGATCGGTGACAAGACCTTCATTGCTGCGGCGGTCTGTATTTTATTTTATTTTTTATTTTCTAATTTATTTTTGGAATGTGTTGAATGGGTTATGTTTTATGTGGGTTAATTGTTAATTTGATCTATATTGTGTTATATTATGTTGCTAAGAATTAATTTCTCTTAGATGTTTATGTTGAATGGGTTAATTTTTATTTGGGATATTTTAAATTTAGTAATATTGTGTAATTTTATTGCCAAGAGATGATTTTTATTTTATTTTTTAAACTGTTTATTTATGTTGGAGTACTGTATCTTGTTTGTGATTGAAGGGGCATAAGTGCTCTTTGATTGATTGTTAGTGCTTGAAAAGAATTTGGTTCTTTTGTGGAATCTAATGCATATAATTTTTATACTCAAGACATGTGGAATCACTAATCAGTGGGAGGATATGGGGTTATTTGGTTTATTTGGTAGAATAAGTGTAAGTGGAAATGACCTTTTGCTGTTTCAACAGTTAAGGATAGATTAAAGTGACCTGTGATAAATGATACCCTCAGCTTAAATGATGGGAAAAAGGAATAAATAAAAATAAAAATTACCTTGGTCTTAATTTTTTTTTTATTTTTTTATTGTCTAATATACTCCCTCCGTCCATATTTGTTTGCCCCATTGTATTTATTGGGGTCTAATTTAGAAACTTTGACCAAAAATCCTCACTAATCTTTAAGAGATAATATAATAAAGTTGATTTTTTTTTTTTTGGATGGGTTAAATTTATCAAAGTTTTATAACTTTTGCACATATAGAATTAGAGATATATATGATTTTAAGACGTATCTTGAAGACCATGAAAAGTCAAATGGGGCAGACTAATAGGAACAAAGAGAGTAGAGAATAGTTGTAAATTTTGGGAACAACTTGTAAATGGTTGGAACTATACATGAACATATCACATTTAATTGAATATCCATCACTATTGACCATGTCGTAGTCGGAAGCTTTGTTAAAGACATTGAGGTCATGCTATAAATATATGTTGGTTATAGATGAAAAATGATTGAAGTAATTGAATAAGATAGCATGGATAAGTTACAAATGTATAGTTCCTAAATTTGCAATGTAGAGAACATTGTGGATACCGATCTTGTGAATGAAAAGATAATGATAATCAAGTGCCTTTAAAATTTTGTATCGTTCTTATGATAATATCCCTGAATGTCAAGCCCTCCTTCCCCTAGATGTTACCTTTTGTTAATTCTGCGCCATATATTGTTGATAGTTTTGTAAATCTTGCTTTTGATGTTTTCCTTGATCCTTGCTTCTAGATCTTAGCCATGCGTCATCCAAGAAGACTTGTCCTTTCTGGTTGTCTCTCTGCTCTGATAGTAAGTGCAACCTTTTGCCTTACATATTATTCATTTGTGTACACGTTCTCCAGATCCCTGTCTAAGTTGTCTGATTATCTTTCAAATTAGGTGATGACCATTCTCTCTGCTATTGTTGGATGGGCTGCTCCTAATTTGGTAAGGACTTCTTATATAGAATTTGACACCCTTTGGTGCCTTTTATTAGGATTGTTTGTTTTATATCCCTGAAAATGTTTTAATGATATATCTGCAAGCTGTATCTTCTAATGCCTTTGGCTTTGGTTATAATACTTCTCATTTTCTTTTAGTCTTATTTAATAAAATAAAATGCCATTCGTATTTGTGTTCCTTTTTAGGATTTTTTATCTGAAGCTTTGTGATTGCAAATTACTCAGATATCTCGTAAGCTGACTCATCACGTTGCAACATTGTTGTTCTTTGGATTTGGATTATGGTCACTATGGGACGGTTTTCATCAGGAAGGGTAATAATTTTCTTCTTGGTCTTTGTTCAATTTGCCTTCCTTTGTGCTTCTCATGTTGCAAAAAGCAGCTAAATTTCATTCTGCTGAAAGCCAGTAAAATTTCATTTATGTAGGGAAGCCGGAGAGTTGGCTGAAGTTGAAAAGCAGTTGGTTAGTTTTCAGTTCATTCATTTCTTGAACTTGTACTAATTTAGGTTATAACTCAGTTCTTATGATTTCACTAGGATGCTGATTTCAAGGGCACTACAACAGCTACAGTGAACAAGGTGAGATTCTCTATATGTGCACAGTTGCAAATTTTCCAGTACTCTTATTCTTTGTTGCTCTTGTTGACTCCATCTCCTCACTAGTTTCTTTCACTCTATATTTTCCTTTTCAAGGTTATCAATGTATTGGTTGCATGTATTTCCTGCATATGTATTATGAAAATTCTCTTGCATTATCAAGGTTTCTTAACCAAAAAAGAAGAAAAATGTAAGATGTTAAATGTTTTGAGTTGATCTGGTGCAACTTCTGTTTTAAAAAATGTGAGTGAGGTCATGAAGCTGTGACCATCAACTGCATCAAGCACAAGGGATGCATGTGCCTTCACCACATCTTTGCTTAATGTAATAACACAAAATGAGACAATTAATGATTGGCAGAAGCAACCCTAAAATCGAATTCTTGTTGCTCTGTTAAAGCGTGATGGATCTATAGTGTGAGAGCAATTCAAATCCCACTACTTTTTTTCCTGTTCCTCTACTATTCATTCCTTTGCTATCTTTTCACTTGGTTTTCTTCCCTTTTATTTAGTTATTAAGCAGTTAATACAAAGGGTTTACCCATTTAACCATTGAAAAGGCAGGAGGCCTTTACTCTGGAAATACTTTGTACTTTGTATCTAATTTAGAAGATTTCCTTTTGATCTGGATGCTTGTAAAAATGTAAACTGGAGATACCCAATGTTTTTTGTGCTCTAGGATGATGATGAAAACAAAAAGAAGACGAGGCCATTTCTTACACAGTTTTTCTCACCAATCCTTTTGAAGGTAGCACCCTATTAGTGATTTCTATGTGAAATTAATTCCCGTTGATGCCGTTCATATTTTCTCAATTTAGTTACTGTGGTTTTGCAGGCGTTCTCCATTACTTTTTTTGGCGAATGGGGTGACAAGAGCCAGGTGAGGTTAACAGGACCTTCCTGAATGCGTTTTTGTGATAATTGTATATATTTATCTGTACATATTTATTAATATGTCATCCTTTGAGCTTTAATATGCTGTATATTATTCAATTCACACTTTGCATTATAATACTTCAGCTTGCTACCATTGGTCTAGCTGCAAATGAGAACCCATTCGGTGTTGTGCTCGGTGGAATTCTGTAAGTATCATTACCTTTGGCCTTCCTCCTGTATTCTGTAATTTATTCTTTTGGTCAATTGTGGAGAAGCAGTGGAAGAGAATGAGAGAGGGGGTGAAGATAGAGAAAGATGAGCTAGGGAAAGAGGAAGGGGCAGGAATGACCATATGATTAGGATTAGTTCAGTGATTTAGCTGTCTGTGAGGGGATGGCAGGCCAAGCTCATCCCTATTGATTGGCTGTTGGCTTTAAATTCATGATCTTTTTTTGTAAAAATTTGGGACATTTTTGAACCAGGTCTATGTATGCTTATTTCTCCTTGCTTTGCTCAAGTTCCCTATTGTCATAATGAGGGTTTTGAATTTTAAGTAGTACTTCAGAAAGTGCTGCAGCATTCTGGACTTGTTACTTTTTTTTCTTTTGGCCTCCCACTTTAGGAGTACTACAACAACAACAACAAAGCCTTAGTCCCAAAATGATTTGGGGTCGGCTAACATGAATCGTCATAAGGAACCGTACGATACTGTATGTGTCTTCCTGACTAGAGTTTTGAAAATTAATTCTAGTTCCTAAGTCCTTAATATTGAACAAAGTTTATGTTACTAATTGATTTATTACAAAAAATTAATAAATATAAAAAAAAACTCGAGCTTGTTCACGAGCTTTCGAGCCGAGCCAAGGATAGCTCAGGCTTGGCTCGTTAAGATCTTGAGCCGAACCCGAGCTCGAGTTAAGGCCACTCGAGCCGAGCCTATATCGATCTTTGACCGAGCCGAGTCTCGAGCAGTTCACGAGCAGGCTTGACTCGTTAACACCCCTAACCTTAAGCATCAAATCCCAAATAATTGCAGTCAAATGACTGAATACATGTGTATTCGAAATTTTTACGTGAGATTTGAAAATGAAGTGCAAGAGTTCACAATTCACGTGGAAAGTGCAAACAGTGGTACAAAATAAAACTGCATTTGCAATAAGAAATCAGAGACCCAAAAAAAGAGGGAAAGAAGTCAATCTAGGGTAAGAGAGCGAGGCAGGGGGAGAATGCAGTGTAATATAGCCCATTTCTCCCTCACTTCCCCATCTTGGAAATTGTTCATTTTATAATTTGGTCTAGAAAAGTGACTTCTTTGGGTAAATTCTCGACACACTCCATCTGTAAAATGGTACTCTTTTATTTTCTTCACATGTGGGTTATGTTGTGGAATGAAATCTGGCAGCCAATTGTTGTCTCGACTCAGCTCCCATCCCTTTATGTAGGATTAACAAATCAGAATGGCAGTAGCCAAAGACCTCTCGCAGGTCTATTTGGCTGAAATAAAGTACAAGGAATTGTGGGATGACGAGTCTAGTGGAAAAAGGGCTGATATGATGGAGAGTGAAGAGTATTTCGATTGTTGCTGTTAACTTAAATAAAACTGTTGGATAATTCAAAGATTGAAGTGTGAAGAAAATTTAGGGCGGAAGGAAATGTCTTCTTTTAATTTAAGAACTAAATTTTCATTTGTGTACAGAACAAGAAATCATTTGCTTTCACTAGGTGCTATTTTGTCTTGGCTAGTTCATATAGTTAAATAACTTAAATGGGAATCTAGCTTAACTGATATCACTTATTGTAGAGGACAAACATTGTGCACCACAGCTGCTGTCTTGGGTGGAAAGAGCTTGGCATCTCAAATATCCGAGAAAGTGGTATGCATTAAAAAATCCGTGCCTTCAAATATTATGCTTTTGGCAACTGTGACAAAAATTAATTGCTCTCCTCTTGCAGGTTGCTCTTTTTGGTGGTGTTCTTTTCATTATTTTTGGGATTCAATCCTTCCTTTCTCCAGTCGACTAATCCCCTTGTAAAACTATTCAAGAGGTTCGTAGATATTGTGTCTTTATAATTCCTGATAGTATGAAAAGCTGCTTTAATTCCATGTATGCGTCAAAAGCATAACATGCTCATATACGAGTCTAGTCAACATGTAGAAGTGTGGAACTTATGAATGCCCTTTAATGCTGTTGATGTGGCTGAATCATGAGTTTTCTTGTCTGAATGTATATACTTTGTAATTGTTTCTCAAAAGTAGCTTGCCTCATCTTTTCGGACAAAGTGAAAAATCCACCTATCAAACAGAGCTTTAGAACTTGGTTTCTGCATTTTATTCTGTATCAAGAATCAGAATGTGATCAAAAGTGCTTATACATTTGCTTGATGCAGCGATTGATGGTCGACCAAAGCTCCAAAACAGATAAAACAATAATGTTGCAGTTCTACAAGGGAGCAAGAGACTTCTGAAATGACAAGTTGCTTGCCGCTCTGCAGCTATAATTGTAGAATTATTCTCATTTTTTGCTGGATCTTATTATTTCGCACAGAACTATATTTATAGGATTACACACATGTTTTAAAATAGGAGTCAGCATTAATGTCGGATCATTTTGTACTGAATTATCAAATCCCCAGTGAAAATTTTCTGGGTCAATGCTGCTTTATTTGGCTCTGGATAATAGCATCTACCTTTAGATGTAGTTATAATATGACCTCTTTATCAAAATTAAAACTAGTACTCCGTATGAAGTATTTTGCTGTCAATTTGCACAAAATCTATTGAAGAATACTTCAACTCACTCTACAATTCAAAGAGTGTTACACATATACTCCGTATCTAAATTCAGAGGGAGTATGCTTTGAGTTTACAACTTACAGTACATCAAGCAGAGTGAGGTTGATTATGATTCATCTGCTCAAGGGGATTAGACACTTTCTCAATGCACTCTGTAGACAAAGCAAACGATCTGCATAACGATTCATTGACACTAGACATTTGCAAGTTGCAACTAGAAATCATAAAGCAATAATATCCAGATAGTCAAGTAAGAGCATTATTATGTATTAATAAGATAAATCTTGTCTAAATTTGAGCACAACAAAAACCAAGGTTCACATGGGCAATGGCTACCAAATATATACACATGTAGATGTAATTTATAAACATTATACAACTATGTTGGCCTTCCCACAACCACAAGGCCTCTTTCTTTCTCACTTTTGCGTTTCAGCATCCACTACCTGCAGGTTCAATAGAGCTCAGCAGCCCGTTGCCTCTCAGCTGCATACAATGGTCTTCAGCATCAGCCTGAGCACATATTATAACCACAGACAAGCCATTGATGTGTGCCTCTTGCATGATGTTTACAGCGTTGTCGACTGTCATTCCGGGTATAACCTTCATCAGTACTTGCACAACATATTCCCTTTTGTTGAAGTTGTCATTGTGCAGTATTACACGATATGGAGGAGCTATTTTCCTTGTTTTCCTAAAACAAAACAGAATTATGGGATTTAATTGATGTCAACAGAAACATATTTTCAAGTCTCGTAAGTTAAATTCAGAAGTTAGGACAAGAACCTACTGATGAGTCTTATATATGATAACAAGTATATTCAGCATAGAAAAATGGTTTAGATAAGGACAAGAACATTAAAAAACGGATTTTACTTGACCTTTAAAATATTACCATAATTAAAAAAAAAAAAAAAAAAAAACACTATAACATTAGCTTCTTATTAGAGCGATCGATTTACTTCACGAATATACCCTTACCCAAATACACAGTAATCCAATTTGCTAACTTTCTCCTCCCTTCCCACCAAATAGCAAGGCCTGTCTTTTTTGAATTAAGTAATTTTTTGAACTTCCTCAGTTTTTTTCCATCTTACTAACCGTTAAAAACAGACAAGAAATAAGATAAAGGTTAGATAACAATAATCCAGAATGTTACAGTTTTTCAAAAGGGCAGTACTTATTAACTATATCTAACAAAATACCTTGAAGAGGAAATGCCAACCAAAAATTTTCAATGGACAACCTTTTGCAATCTCTCTCAAAAGGTCAAATCACATGAAACCACCCCTTACTCTCCAGAGTTGCAGTACGCCAGTACCTCTACATGATTCAATAGCACTTCTAAGGACAAACACACCCTTATTTTCTTTCCATCTAACAAACTGTTCAACAAATCTACATAACCAATCAATGATGAACCTGAAAGGCACAGTATAAACCAGCTAAGGGCTATAGGCTACTCCAAGAGTAAGGAGAGAGTAGACTAGATGTATCAAGTCATTTATTGCACCTTAAAAGTGGAACCCAATCAAAGAAGACAGAATAAGCTCTAGTTATTTCCACAACATAAAACATAGTACCTCAGACTCAAAAGTGACTGTCCACTTTCCTATATGGTATACCCCATTAACTTGTTTGAATATAATTTGTGATGTAATAACGATTATTTATCCTCCACTATTCTCAATATACTAATTCAGTATTAACCTCCATCAAATGACCCAAAAGATACACTTCTTTAGAGGGATGAAAAGTTTACAAGGTTCATCACTTTGCAATGCCATCAGTGACTTTAGTCTTCATATGGAAGAAATTTTTTTGCAGTTTTCATGCAGCCAAAATCCCAAAATTCATTTCTCTAGTTTTGCATCTTCATGTCGCGTGACAACAAGACATTGGTGATAGGCTTCAAAAATACTCCACGTGAGCTCACCCAAACATAAGTCAAATATATTCCCATCCCAACCAAAAATGCACAAATATTTTTAATGATTGAAATCATGAGTAAACTATTCACACTCTTCCTCCACACAAACTGATGATCAATATCATGCTTAAAAATTATGAACATTCTTGCTGTTCTATAGAACAACAATGTAAATGAATCTCATCAAATACAAATAGTAGATGTACTTTCCTAGTCAGCTATCAAAGCCTTCCAAATTCTCATGCTTCACCCCATAATTCAAGATTTTCATTATATCACTAAGGTAGAATATTACAATATTGCTGCCCAGCTACCTTTAAAGGATAAATATGCTTCTAAAATGTCCATGGATGCATTCGAGGGACCAACAAACTTCTGAATGCAGAAGAGACTACTCTCTTACAATCTATATGAGGATATACTTACTACTCCCTCCGATCCTATTTGTTCTTACCATTTAAAATCAGGAAGTGAATTAAGAAAAGTGAATCTTAATGTGAGAAAAACAATAAAATAATAAAGATTCCAATTTTTTATTTATTAAATAGTCCTACTTAAAAAAAAAAAAAGGGACAAAGTAATTAATGTGGCAATAGGGGAGCGAGAATGATGACTATAAATTGGAATCATGCATGGGGAGATTCTATTAGTGGGAAATTGTTTTAAAAAATGTATGGAAAAGAGAAAAAAGGTGATAAATTTTGGCACATTCACTAAATATATAAGTGGAAAATTGATGGAAATTTTTAACCATGTATGGAAAGATCCCAAATGAAAAGGACTTTTTGAACCTTTCTAATCAGGAAACAGGATGAACAAATAGGATCTTTGGGAGTATTAAGATAAAAAAAAGGAAATTGATTAGCTCACAAATGTACCACCAATCAAGTGAAGTACTGTAATATATATCACCAGCTTAAAGTAGTTCCAGGCTCACCTATCTAACTTCTACACAGTTGGTGCCTCAATATCAGTTAAATTGATGCTAAGAATAAAGATGTGAAACTTGCAGATAAACTCCATTTAAGTGTTAGAAGCATTTCTAATGTTATCAAAGATAAAAGGAAGGTATTATTAGTATTAGCACCTCAGATCAAACTCAGATTCACGTCCAGGGGTGGTTTTCTCAATTACAGGTCTGTCTAATACTCCTCCCTTAGAAGATCCAGTAGCTGACACAGCCATAAGGAATCCGCGGTGGTGGCACAATCCTTTACAAAAATAATGTTTATCCCCTGGGCATAAATCCAGAAAGATCATTCCAGTAATAACATAACACATTCTTTTAACAAACCACAGTCAACTGCTCCAATGAGTGAAGATAAACCAAACAATCAAACATCCAAATAAATCAAACAATGAGGATTAAAAGGGGAAAAGGGCATCCAAAGTTTGCATCACTAAAGCAACCAAGCGAAAAAAATCATAATTTTTATCTTCCAATTGGAATCAATGAACAAAAAGATTAGAGAGCACAGTCACATATACAAGCCTTCCTGTAAACCAATTCCCTAGCAACTAAAACACGTCAGTTCACTGAACTGCATAAGTTTACTATAAGAGAAACTAGAAAGAAATGCTTATAGCAAAAGTTATTAATTTGTTTAAAGTCACAAGGAAAAATAATGCATCTAAGAAAATTGCTGGCCGAACAGTAAATTTAGCGTAGTCTGATCATGGGAAGGTGACTTGGGCCTTAGCCTCTTTGTATGTCCTCTTTTAATGTGATGTTTCAACAAAAGAAACATATTTCCTTTCTTCTTTTCCCTCCAATCTCCTCTAAGATAATTATACATTTTCTGGATTGTTTTTCAATTGTAGGAGTGAATTGGTGATTTTCCTACTCTTTCCTTTGCTAAATCAGTTAGATTTCTAATTCATTCACACTGAGTCCATACTTTTACAGACAACTAGAGATTTCCCATCATTAGAAAAGACTGTGGTGTGATATTGCGGTTAAGAAACCTGAAGTTGGAAACATCTCATGGGAGATACGCCATGCTTAATGGTCATTGAAGCACAAATTGTCAAATTGAAATATATTCACTTCATCATTGTTAATCTGTGATGGGGGCCTACATGACAACACGAGTATAGAGTTTCTATATAGACCTATGCTACATTCAAGAGCAATACACATCTTATAAAGGCTGACTTGGTGACATAACGATCTAAAACAGAAGTTGAGATTTATTTTTAAAAAAAAAAAAATACAAGTTATGGCTTAACTTTTAGTGGAATGTCAGATTGTAAAACCATCACAGAATGGCTTAAACATTACCAAACCACCCGGTTTAATTTTATGCTTACAATAAGGTATTACATATTAAAGAATTCTTTACCTTAAGCAAACCCTTATAGAATTGCCTAATAAACAAAGATAAAGTTCCAACCTAAAACGGATATGACTATCAAATTCAAAGCAAAACAAGTTCTTTAGAAAGCTAGGAGAAAGGTGATTCTCCAACTAAATTACCGCACCTAAATCCCTAGAAACATTTTAATAAACACGAAAATCCCAATTAAAAACTCTAAAGAATTATAGAAAAAGTGTTAACAAGTCTACAAACTAAAGAAAAAGAAAAGTGAGGAAAGAGAGAATTGCAGCTCTAATATACTAACTGCAGCATAAAAAAGGATCCAAAAAGTTAATCAACTACATAAAGTTAATTTTGATATACACATTGAATTGTAAACATAAAATAATTTTCCTAAAATGGTATTCCATACTATAATTTTTAGTAATTTATGACAAAATTACGCATCGATTAATGTTATAAATGTTCAATTAACCCTCAATGTTTACTTTAAACTTCCTAATTAAGGTCAGCGTATATCATTTTCCATCAAAAATTAAAATCCTTAACAACCAAAAAAAAAAAAAAAAAAAAAAGACGCAACATATATAACAAAACCCAGAAAATTAAAATTCATTCATTCAAAATACTAAAGTCAAACAATAAATTCCAGATAACAAAAAAAATTGAAGCAACTAAGTT